AGAGGACCGACAGACAAGTCTGCCGACGAACCCTGCCTGTTTGCAGGCGAGACATGAGAATCGCCCAATTGAGTAAAAACCGGTGCATCCAGCTGGCCAAGCTGGATATCCCATTTCACTGGTAGCTTCATTGGACACCGTCCCAGTGAAATGCTGTGTCGCCCTGAAAACCAACGGGTTCCCTGTGACTCCAAGGGTTCCACACACACACACACTTCATTGCAAGTAGTGACTCTGCAGTTGTTTCCGCTTCCGTGACCCCTTTTCACGTGCCAAAACCCTTTTTGCATGTTTGATAAAGCGCATGAAAAACACATTTATTTATAACTTCAAAGGGTTCGATTCAATTCCCTTTCATGGTTGGAGGCCTCGTTGATTGGTGTGCTGGGCCTTTTGGACATGAAGAGCTTCGCCTATGCGGGACAGGCCATGCAGCGGCCAAGCTGTCCGCCATTTGTGGGAATTCTTGCGGCGTCAGCCCTTCAAACAAGCAGCCTGCTGGAGGCTATGTCTAGAAGCCTGGGTATCAACAAAACCATCGAACACTCATTCAGAGATCTGAGAGCCTTCTCCACACCCATCTCGTCCCCAATCCCATCACTCTGAGTTGGCAAAGAACGACCGTATCAGATCGTATCAGGTTGAGGATGCGGACTCCGGCTGCATGGCCACTGATCTCGAGAAGGATGGTCGAGACAGCCAAGAGTGTCGAGAAAGAACAGTCGAGAAAAGAGCAATGACATCCAACCTTGCAGCAGTGGTCTCCAAGCTTGCTTGCCGACGGTAGATGCCATGTTTGGGTTGAATGGCCTTGTTTTTTCGAAACATGGACGACTTTGAGAGATTTGTAGTTTGTCATGGGATAATTGTTTTCCACGCTGGCTGAATCACAAACATTTTTGGCTTCGACCTCTTTGAATTGCCTCCTTTTTGGCTGCTTTGAGGATGCCACAAGGATGCCTAAATGTGTAATTCAAGTCCTACTTGCTATAGTTATATATAGACATATATAAGTTTGCCAAAAAATCAAATCCAAGAACCAAATGAATAGAATAGTGTGAACTATCCTGCGTCTTTACTAGTAACTTAAGTAAGGTACTAGCTACATAGCTATAGCTATATATATTTTTATAAAATACATTCCCTTTTTCGTTGTGTTTTTTCCTGCTCTCCAGGAGACGGTGGAGATTTGGCGTCGCCAGGGCCGCCACTTCCCCCGCTACGACCCGCCCCGGCGGCTGTTCCGGCCCGGAGTCCGTGAGACCGACGTTCGATTCGTTCTTTTTTTTTTTTAAATCGTATTATTGTTATTATGTTATTTTTTTTTAAGCATGAAAGACCATGGTGCTGGATTGTTGCCCAGAAATAGGCAGCACAGGGACCAACTTAAACAACCTGTTTCAAAGATCGAACATACGGGAAGGCACGTCGTCAAGTCTTGGTATATGGAATGACAGCAGGCGGTATTCGGAGCCTGCTTGTAGGTTCACCCCGCCATTTCCGAAACACAATTTCCATCAATTTCCTTTTCGCACTCCTTTGTCAACTCCAGTGCAGTACCCTTAGCAGTTGATGTGATTGACGTGAAATAAAGAAGACTGAGGATGAATGTAAAAAGAAGGGTGCGTTCCTGCCCAACATGTCTTTGCAACGGAAGCCCTGCTCAACACAATGTAAAGCCAGAGACGCCATCCGTCGACGCTTTGCGTCGTGAGGCCTGAGAAGTCGGTCCCGGAGTTTGTGGCGATGATGTGCCTCGAGGGCGATGATGTCCAGGGATCCATCGTGGATTTCAGGACCGTCCCTAGCGGACGCTACTAGGAACAAAGGGCATCGCTACTAGTAGCAAGGACGCTACTAGGAGTGGAGGCCATTGCTACTTGTAGCAAGTGCAGATTTGCTGAGCATTCATGTCCCACAGGTCCATAGGATCTTTTGAACGTTTGCACTGAGCCCGCTTACCGCAGGGCCCTTGAGTCGCTCGAAAAAGACCGCATGTGCAACTGCGGCACTATGGCCCCCCCGGCCCGGGTTGTGAATCCCCGCTCTTGCATTGGTAGCGGAGCGAGCCGATCCGCGTGGCTCGCTCCCGCATGCCCATGGCGGCTGACGTCTTTGGCGCGCCGCTTCGCTCTTCGGTCGCCGCTGGCGGCACCCTACCTCCTGCTGAAGGTGACCTACCAGAACTGGCAGCGGCACCGGCGGCAGCGGACCACAACATGGACTACCACGACAGCGACGTCCTGGTGGAAGATGGCTTCAACTACGACTTCGACGAAGAGGACGAGTTGGTGCAGCTCTATGCCACCGGACCCCGTGGTGGACGCAGACTGGGTCGCAACGGCCCTAGGACGGAAGAGGCGCTGGCACCGCCTCCTGGCGATGCAGGACGCCGGAATCCGACTTCTCCGGCATCCGACGGACGCAAGAGTCCGGCCTCGCACCACTCCGTCGCTGAGAAGAGTCCCGCTTCACCCTCATCGAGGACTTCGGCATCAGAGGACGCCGCAGGACGGCATCGACCTCGTGGAAACTTGCCACAAGCACCTAGCTTCGATGGCAACATCAAGAAGAACCCCAAGGCCTTCAAGCAGTGGCTGCAGAAGATCGACAGCTACATCGAGATCGCCAAGCACATCATCGGGCCCGAGGAGATCGGACTTCGATTGCATGCTGCCTTGGAGGGCGATGCAGCCGCCTACCTGGAAGGCATTCCGGCCAAGACCTTCGGCGTGACCGACGGCTGGAAGGTTCTCGTGCAGGTGCTCAAGGACAAGTTCGCCGAGAAGCGGATGCACCTCATCGGAGGTGCCATGAAGTCCTTCTTCCAGCTCCAGGTGGACCGCAACTCCACGCTCACCGAGGTTGCGGACCAGATGGATCGAGCAGCGCGGCTTTGCGCTGAATCAGATCTCACCCTGCCGGATGAGATCATGGTGTACTTCTTCTTCGAGCACTCTGGCTGCTCGTTTGAGAGAAGGGCGAACATCCTCCTGAGGACAGGAGGAGAATACAACTGGAAGAAGGTGAAGCAGGCGGTGGAACTCCTCTACCCGCAGACGATGGTTTCCGCTCCTCGCCGGAACTTCGACCACTCGAAGGGCGCGGGCAAGCGGCAAGCACACGAAGCTCAGGGACAAGGAGATGACGCCCAATACGCAACCTCCTCAACCGACCTCGCATCGATGGACTTGGAGGATTGGTTGTACTATGAGGACCCCATCGAGCGCCTTGCCGACTATGACACCCCGGAATGGATGCCCGAAGGACTTGCCCGAGAACTTCATGAAGTCTTTGCCACTCACCGTGAGAACCGTGCCAAACTGGCCAAAGCGGTGAAGGCTCGTGGCTTCTACACGGGCAAGGGCAAGGGCAAGAAAGGATCGGGCGGCAAGGGCAAAGGCAAGGGACGTGACTCATCCTCCGGCTCCGGAGGTAAGAGTTCTGGCTAGAAGGGCAAGGGCTCTGGTGGCTCTGGCCATGCCCGCGGCATGTCGCTCGACGAGCTCAAGAAGAAAACCGCATGTGGCGACTGTGGCCAGTTGGGTCACTGGCGTGGCGACCCTGCCTGCCGCGGACCGAACAAGGCCAATGAGACCGTCACCATCGACCTTGCCGACGATGAGAACCCGGAGAACGATGACCTCTACTACGACGATGTTTGGATGGAATGGCAGGATTGGGAGCAAGATGCCAATGAGGCCTGGACTACACACAGTGGCGCAGCAGACCAAAGCAGCACCGCCTATGCGGCCCAGGCCAAGAAGGAGCAGAAGTCCGAGCACTACCCCGAGCTCACCAAGCCAGAGGCCGAGGAAGTCATCCATGGAGTGAACCGCATCAAGAAGAAGTTCCACTCCAAGGACTCGCCGACCGAGACGGTGACACCTCCTTCGAAGAAGCCAATGGATGTCTTCACCGCCTCAGCTCTCATCCAACATCGGGTTGAGGCCAAGAAGGAAAAGGAGAAAGCTTCAGCTCACACGGCCACAGCTCCAGAAGCCGTGCGAGAGGCATTCGACGTCTTAGGCATCAAGCCCCCCCGACACCAAGGACTCCGTTTGGGGCGTGCTCAACCAGGAAGCCGAGGCCACCTTTGACCTCGACGAGATGCGTGTGGTCATGGCGGTCACACGCCAAGGACCAAGCTTGCAGGAACTCCAACGACCTCACCTTGGCCACGACGATCATGGACAACTCCTTGGAGTACCCCGCAGCGTGCTGGCGAACACTCGGCTCGCCCCGAGTGTGCGGGATGGCGTGGCGTATCTAACCATCGATACTGCTTGTGAGAACACCGTTGGAGGCCGTGGACATCTGGACTATGCCATGGAGATCCTCCGGAAGAAGCGCAACGTCAAGGCCCTCATCACGCCTGAAGAGGAGTCATACAGGTTTGGCCCTGGCGAAGCACGGATCTCCCACCAGAGGTTCCACATTCCCATCGGGATCGGCGGAGTGGCCATGATCATCAAGACCTCCAGCCTGGAGGACCGACATCCCGAGCAGAACCGCATCCCCTGGTTGGCTGGCCAAGATTGGCTTCGCTTCATGGAAGCAGTGGTGGCCGTTGCCGGCCAGAAGCTGATCCTGAAGGCAGTTGGCGCTCAGGCCGACCTTTTCATCGACGTCACAGGCCACCTTGTGGTAGCCGTGGACGATTTCCCTCCTGACGGATGGCCTCAAGGAAAGGTCAAGACCCGTGATCACTACGCGGGAGCCCTTTGGATGTCAGGAAAAGCCTATACGGCGACCGCTGTCCGGCCTGAGCAGTGCACCCACATCTACAATCCTGAGGATGACCCCATGAACTCTACGGGAGCTACATCAAGGACACCCTGTTTGGTCCCTGGTGATGTTTGGGAGTACTCTTTGGAGCATCCACTTCTATATGTACGACATCATCGCACTCCCAGGACAACCAGATTTCATCCTCAGGAAGTCGTAGATGGCCCTGATCCCAAAGAACTTCAACCACTTCGGGTCACCTACAAAGATGGTTATGGGGAACCCTCAATCGATGTTTGGGATGATCATGTTCATGAAGAGCCTTGGACCGGCATCACCATCCTCGTCGGCTTTGGTTGCGACCCCTCCGTGTCGTTCGACTCCGTTCGTGCACCAGCCGATCACATTGGGGTCGAGGCGAACATCGAAGGCCAATGTTTGAAGGTCCACCCAAAGTCACTCAAGGCTCATGTTCAGAAGAGGTTCCAAAGGTCAATGGACACTTCAGTCAAGCCTCCGGACCTGCCTCTCAATCGACATGATCAAGTGTTTCAGCCATCCATCAATGAGTTCCCGAATCGAAGCAATTCGGATTCAAGCAGCCTGCAAGCTCGCCATGCCCACCGAGAAGAAGGAGAGATCCCTTCGGCGATGGCGGCAGCTCGTGGACCAGCTCATGAAGGCGCTGGCGGCAATGGTGCATTGGGTCAATACCACCAAAGTGGTTCGAGAGCTCAAGTACCGCTCACCAGCCCTCATGGCCTACATGGAGGCGATCTTGCAGAAGGAGACTATCCAGGCTCAGGACCTCCCACCGGCACTTCCGCCGGCATCGACACGCGCCAAGGGCCAGACACCACTTCCACTGGCGATGGCCTACGAGATGGAGCCGAAGAACTGCCCTCATCTAGTCGAACATGGCCGCAGGTATGGCAACGCGCATGGCAAGTTCTTGGAATGCATAACCTGCGGCAGCGTGTGGAAGGGTCTGGACTATCAGGTGCCGATCACCGCGGAGACGGTCACAACGTACAAGGTGTACGTGGGCATCAGAGATCGTCCAGGCGGGAAGGTCATCAAGGGAGCAACAGCTCGCAAGGTCTCTTCTACAAAATCCTCTGCATACTCCTCTTCCTCATATCCAACATCTATGGAAGCAGCCTACGGGACTACACCGGCTCCGACTCCATCGACGACCTATCGCAACAAGGCCGACAAGAAGCCGGTCGTCAAGAAGAAGGCGGAGACGTTTTCGCTGGACAGCGAGGACGACATGAGCGTCATGGAGATCCACAGCACCAGCTCCCTCACTTCCAGAAAGAGTTTCGATGGCTGAGCTCAGAGACGCCTGACGCACCTCGCGTCAAGCTCAAGCCTGGTCAGAGGAAGAGAATGCAGAGCATGGCTCGCGATGCTTTGGCTACATCGAAGCTCCACAAGAAGATCATCCAGGAGCGCTTCACGCGAGGCAGGTGGCCCCGCAAGCACTTCCGCTTCGACCTCATCGAGATCTTTGGCGGCTCCAGCATGATCACCGTCCGTGGTGTGACCTTGTGGAGGATGAAGGCATTGCAGCCTGTAGACATCCGCTACGGCATTGACCTCCGGCAGCGCAAGATGAGGCGCTGGCTTTTGGACTTGCTCAAACGCGCCAACCCACGCTTGGCCCTGGTCGAGTATCCATGTACTCCGTGGTCGATCTTGCAGTCCAACGTCAACTATAAGGACGACCCTGAGGCCCTCGAAGCTTTGCAGAACCAGGACAAGCCGTTCCTGAAGCTCACGGAGAATGTCTTCGAGTCCCAGGTCTCCAGAGGAGCGCATGCTGTAGCAGAGAACCCAGCGACTGCATCTTCGTGGCAACAACCGGAGATCGTACGCCTTCGCAAGAAGTTCTTTGAGACCACCTCATGTCTATGCATGTACGGCCTGATCGGCAAGAGAGGTGGCTTGATGCAGAAGAGGGTGCGCTTCCTGGCTACACACCCCTACTTCGTGGAAGAGCTTCAGGCAGAGTGCGATCATAGCCACGCTCATGAAGAAGTTGCTGGATCCAACGCCAAGCTGTCACAATGCTACCCACCAGCTTTAGCAGACGCCATTTGTCGCGCCTACTGGCGGGTGGTCGAGCTTGAGGATTTCGGGACGCTCACCTTCAACGATGCCGAGAACTCCACTGGCATCTGGTTCGTGGACGCCAACAAGGAGGAAGACAAGTGGCGCCCACTCCTTGCAGAAGCTGAAGAAGTCTTGGCCAGAAAAGTTCAAGGCAGTGTCTTCGTGGCGCCCGACTCCGAGCTCTACAAGAAGATTTGTGACTTGGTGCCCTGGCAGGTGATGAACATCCAGTTGGCACACCTGCCCAAAGCAAAACGTGTGCGACCTGGCCTTGAAGACTGCCATAGATGCTCAGTCCTCCTGTTGAACGATGATACCCTCACCATCGAGACTGAGTACCTGAAGACAGCCCAGGCGCCACGGGAGAGATTTGTCACCCCGGTGCGGGTGGCGATTTTCGTGTTGGGATACGCACCTGGCGATCCCGCAGAGCCTCGGCCAGAACCGGAACCTCCAAAGCAGTTCGTGGCCATAGAGGACTCCAAAGACCACTACATCGTGCCGTATGACGACCAGGCATTGGTGGAGATCCCTGAGAAGACGCTGCTGAAGCAGTCCTATGGGGAGCATTGGTTCGTTGGGCCACCACTCAATGCCAAACAGAAGAAGCTGGCACCGACCGTGGTCAAATTGCATAAGAACTTGGGCCATCCTTCTTAGCCTGACCTCACCCGGGCTTTGATACAAGCTGGAAACGTTGAGCCCGAGGCCATTGAGCTGAGCAGGCGAATGAAGTGTGCAGTGTGTGAACGCACTCGGAGGCCACGTATTCCGAGGCCCACTTCCTTCAAGGTGGTTGGAGCCTTCAACTCCAAGCTCTGCATGGACTTTGTGAACGTGCCGGACGTTGCAGGCGAGATGTTTCAGTTCCTGCACATCCTCGAACCCAACGGCTCGTTCAACGTGTTCTACCCGAGCCCCAGCAGGGATCCTGGCGACGTCTGGGATCTGTTCACTATGTTATGGGCATCTTGGGCAGGCTACCCTCAGGTGCTATGGGTGGACAAAGATGGCGCCTTCGAAGGCGATTTCCTGGAGCGCATTCGGTCCATGGGAACTACGGCTGACACACCTCCAGCGGAAGCACACTGGCAAGCTGGCGAAATCGAGGCCTATAACCGCGCCTTCAAGGACACTGCGCGGAAGATCATAGATCAATATTCACTTCAAGGAGCCCGAGACATGAAGACAATGGCATGTGCCGTCGCAGCCGCGATGAATGACAAGATCCGAACCAGTGGCTGCTCGGCCTACCAATGGCTGTTTGGCAAGAGCCCTGTCATACCGACTGACGTCCTTTCACCGGACGGCAAGTTTGAAGCTTTGCAAGCTATGGACGTTGACAGTGAGCTCCGGAAGAGAAGTCAAATCCGAGCAACAGCCGATGAGAAGGTGACGGCCTACCGATTGAATGAAGCGGTTCGCACCGCCATCTTGAGGAAATCTCATCCTCCTCGAGAGACCTATGAACCAGGCGAACTGGTGGCATTTTGGCGGGAAGCCAAGTACAAGCAAGGCCGAAAAGGCCAGAAGGGAAAGCGGATACCTGCTTCATGGTATCGTGGGATCATCATCGGCCCACACAAAGGCGATGGTTCAGCCAAGCAGAACAACTTCTGGGTCAGCTCCAACGGAAAGTGTGTCTTGGTTTCCAAGGAGCAGCTTCGACCCGCCTTCGGGACAGAGCTTTGGCCCGTTCATGAACATGTGTTGGAGGAGCTGCAGGAGAACCCTCCGGACGACTACCTGGACCTCCGAGCTGCAGACGGAGCACTACCGCCTGAGGAGGAGGAAGTTGATCAGGTCCCCCTCTTCCTGGACCAGCCTGATGAGGAGTACACGCCTACCGTCGTGGACCCCGCAGACATCCCTGTTCCAGAAGACATGGAAGATGAACCTGTTGCCGAACTACCTCCACCAGCTCCATCCGAGGCCGTGGACTCGACAGGCACGGACTTGACTACGTTGCCGGCTACCTCACGAGCCCCTGGCACTCCGGTGGGACAGCTCTGGTCCAAGGAACCGGACCCAAAGAGGTTGAGGACGACACCATCGGCATCCGCCCCTTCCGAAGCAGCAGTGATGCCATCAGCCGAGGAGATGGAGATTCTGCTCACCACATCTCGTGTAGAAGGTGAGAACTCTACAGTCTATGAGGTGCTGTCAGAGGTCGCGAAGGACTCCTGGTACTACGATAAGCCGCGAGGCCTACTTGTCCGACTTCACCGACGCCCTCGTCGAGCTCTATACGACCCTTGTCGAGCTCGAGATCTTCCCGTCCAGCTGGACAGTCTGTCACCAAAGAGGATCACGGTGATGCGCACTTCTGGACAGCGGAAGGTGAGACGAGACACTTGGCTGCCACCCAACTCCAACGTCCCGATGGACCACTACTGGACTGGCACTACGACCTTCAAGGTGGTGACGCAGTCCGGCATCTTCGAGGTGCAGTTGGATTGGCAGAACCCTCAAACCATGTCTCGCAAAGACCGCAAGGCCTTGGAGAAGGAACTCCCTTGGAGCGCCATCCCCGATGAGCAGAAGGAGCTCTACAGACAGGCCTTGGTCAAAGAGTGGAACACCTGGCTCAAGTATGAGGCGGTCAAAGTCTTGGATACGGCTTGCAGCCGCTATGTGGAGAACAACATCGACAAGTCCCGCATCCTGGCTGCCCGAGTTTGCTAGAGAGATAAGCGCGCAGCAACACCTTGGCTGGAGATCAAGCCAAAGGCTCGCATCGTATGTCGAGGAGATGCGGACCCGGACTTGTTGGAGCTCCGGCGTGATGCGCCCACTTTGACACGCCTGGGCCTGATGCTTTTGCTGCAGCTGGGAGCTTCATCTGACGGCTGGTTCGTGGTTTGCGCTGACATCACAGGCGCTTTCCTTCAAGGCGATCAGTCCCTGGCACAGCGCAAGGACCCACTCTTCATCCGACAGCCTCGAGAAGGACTACCAGGTCTACTACCGGGCCAGCTGCTACTCGTGGTGCGCGGCATCTTTGGCCTCGCCAACAGCCCGAGACTCTTCTGGCGATTCCTCCGGGACACTTTGGTGAAGCTTGGCTTTGTTCAGTCAACTTTGGACAAGGCCCTCTTCTTTTTCTACGTCGACCACCTCCTGGTCCTGGCAGTTGGTGCGCGCGTGGACGACTTGGTCTGCGTCGGCAAGCCGGGCATTGGCGACGAGATCTTGGAGAAGGTTCGCGAGAGCTTTGACTTCGGCGACTGGCATGACCTCCGCAACGAGGACAAGTTAGTCTATGGTGGAAAGGAGATCACCCGGCTGGATGATGGTGGACTTGCACTTTCCCAGTGCTCCTTTGTCAAAGCCCTGTCGCTCTCTCCGATTCCCAAGTGGAGGAGCCTCATGAAGGACGATGCCCTGACGCAACCCGAGATCACTGAGCTCAAGTCGGGCATTGGCTGTTTGCACTGGCTGAC